CATTTTGGGAAAACGGATCCGGACCCGTATTCTGACAGTCCCAGAGGGTCCATAGTAAAATATGGGACTTAGGTGTATGCCCGAAATCGAATTCCGAGGTCCCTCGCCCGAGAAATGAATTTTTGAGGAAAATTGTTAAATTGAAAAGATAGTGGTTTTTAGAAATTGAATAATGTTTGATCTTGTTGGTATCGGGACCGTATTTTGATTTCGGAGTCCGGTACAGTTTTAATATGATATCTAGACCATGTTTGTGAAATTTGGTGAGAAACGGAGTTTATATGACATGATTCGGACCCTCAGTTGGGAAAATAGAAACTTTAAGTGTTCTTGAGAATTTCATTGATTTTGATGCTAAATCCGTAGTTTTAAGTGTTACTTTAGCGGTTTGATCGCATGAGCAAGTCCGTATGATATTTTTAGACTTGTGTGCATGTTTGGTTTGGAGCGTCGAGAGCTCAGGTAAGTTTTGGATAGGCTACAGAGTGATTTGGACTTAAGGAATTTTGCCGGTGTGCTTCAAGTCTGCAGACTTCAGATTTGCAAAGTCTGGCTCGCAAATACGAGTTATTTCGCATTTGCGATCAGAAGGCTGGGAAGGGGACCTTTGCATTTGCGAAGCTCATTACGCAATTGCGACTTGAACGGAGGCCGCATTTCCAAACACTGGTTCGCATTTGCGATGCCAGCAGGCCAGGCCAACCTTCACATTTGTGAAGCTACGACCGCATTTGCAAGATCACATTTGCGAAACTTGGATCGCAAATGTGATACCTGCAACTGTTCAAAACATAACTTAGACGGGATTTTCACCCATTATTCACATTTTCCAAATCCTAGAACCCTAGAGGCGATTCTCCCAAGATAAAATCTTTCCCAAAACTTTGGTAAGTGATCCTAACCCACTTTCTTCACTTTCCCATCACATTTCATGAATTTCCAACCAAAAATCTAAGATTTTTATGGTAGAAATTGGGGGTTTGGGTAGAATTAGGGATTTTTATAAATTAGGAATTTAGACCTCGATTTGGGGTCGGAATCCAAAGCCAATTGTATATTCGGGATCGGGGGTGAATGGGTAATCGAGTTTTGGTCCGAATTTTGAGTTTGGACCAGGCGGGCCGGGGTCAGATTTTGACTTTGGGGGGAAAATGTTGGAAAACCTATAATTTTGCATTGGAATTGATTTCTTTAGCATTTATTGATGTTATTAAGTTAATTATGACTAGATACGAGTGGATTGATGGTAGAATCGAGAGGTAAAGTGGTAATTGAGCTTTGGAATACACGTTGGCTTGAGGTAAGTGTTTGGTCTAACTTCGACTTGAGGGATTAGGGATCCCAGACTTAATTGTTATGTGAAATTCCATGTGTGTGGCGTATAGGTGTGGTAACGAGTACCTATGTGCCACCAAATTATCATTTTAGCCTGTTCCCTTCCTCATTTCCTATTATATTATTTCCTGTCTTAATTGCTACTTGCTCATAAATGTTTTCATGTCTAATTGCTTCATGTTAACTGTTGTTTTCTCTATTGAAGTATTAATTATTTCGTAGTTTCATGTTATTACCTTGTTGGTTGAAGTTGGTTTGTTGGTGCTTCATGGTACACTTTGGTTGGTCTCGCTATGTAGTATTAACTGTTGAAGTTTCGTAATGGCATAGACCTCCCGTTGTTATAATTTGAGGTATAAATATTGTGGAAGGTTTTGAGTTAAATTGTGAAAAACATGTTCTTGTGTTGTGATTGATACTGATATGTTAGGATTGGGTTGCACGCTACAACAGGAGGAATAAGGGTGAAATGTGATTGTCTGGTGGGATCGGGTTGCACACCGCAACAAGGAGTAATAAGGGTGGATATGTGGGATCGGGTTGCGCGCCGCAATATGAGGAATAAGGGTGATATGTGTTGAGGAGTAATAAGGGTGGACTGATGGGATCGGGTTGCACGACGCAACAAGGAGCAATAAGGGTGAATGTTTATATTGTTATTGATTATATAGTGGGATCGGGATGCGCGCCGCATCAAGTGTTATTTATGTATTCTTTTTCTGTTGAGATTCATTATTGTGGTGTTGAAACTCTCTTAAGGATTGGTTATAGCTGAGTATTGGTAGAAAGCTTCGGTTCCGTATTTGCTTAATGTAAGTTACTGTTATATTTCATTCTGCAATTCCTTTCTGTCTTAGTATAAACTGTTGCAGGTTATATATTGGTATGCCCCGCCGTAGCCTCATCACTACTTCGTCGAGGTTTGGCTCGGCACTTACCAGTATATGGGGTTGGCTGTACTGATACTGCACTCTGTACTTTCTGTGCAAATTTCGGAGTTGGTAGTGGCTGATTGAGAGGTCGGTTATTGATTCTACATTCAGGAGACCCAAGGTAGACCTGCAGGCGTCCGCAGGCCCTGGCGTCCCCTCCTATCTTTACTTTGTTTCTGTCTTTCTTTCTTCGAGGCAGATATATTTCTTTCAAACCATTACTTGTAGAATTCATAGAATGTTCGTGAGTTGTGACACCAAATTATGGGTGGTATCTATTTCGGATTTCGTTAATAGTATATGATTAATTAGTTAAATTATGTACTTTCGCTTTTATTTCCGCTGATTTAGTTTTTGTTAAATTTTAATTATAAAAGGATAAAGGAAAAAGGTATAATATTCTGTGACGTTGGCTTGCCTAGCGAGTACAATGCTAGGTGTCATCACGGTACCGAATGTGAGAAATTCGGGTCGTGACAAAACAGCCCTAAGATAACACCTTTTAAGTGCTCCGAAGTAGGGGATCAAACCATACAAAAAAATTACACCCCGTACTACGACCCTTCTGGAAATAAGAAGATTTCAGTATTAAAAACTCAAAAAAATTAATTGAACAAGATTCTTAATACTAATCTTACCTCATAAAATTTACAGCCATAAAACGATGATCGAGATTATCGATGCTCCATGAAATTACAAGCACGGCTTCTTCACCACAGCAACAAATATGCTTAAAATTACGCATTAGACAACAAAGATTTTCAATTTTAGGAAAAAAAATCAAAGAAAGGGTTCAAGATTGACAAATACACTCTAATTTAAAGATGAATTATACAGGATAAAGAAGATTGAAGAAGAAGAAGAAAAATCTTTGAAGCTAATGGCAAGAAGAGAAAAATCGAGGGTTGCACTATAGTTTACCCACGGGTTGAGTCTTGAAGACCCATTTTAATGAAAGAGCCAAAAGAGCCGTTAAGATCGATTCTGGACCGGTGATATTTGTCAGCTACTTTTTAATAAAGACTTCCACGCGCTCTTGCGTTGGGGTTTTACACGTACAAAGTCCTGGGCAACTTGGCCGGGGCCGGGGGGGGCTGGGTTTAGACACACTTGGGAAAGGATGGATGTGTAAAAGTTTACCCGGGTTTATTAGGTGTGTAATAGGATTTGTCTACAAGGTTGATGGGTAAACTATGCATTTTGCCAAATTTATAATGTTAAATCTTTTATGATATTTTTATAGCATAATATTAAGGATTAAATAAAAAAATTAAAGTTAAATTATTTTCAAATATAAAAAAAATTACTTTTTTGAACGAACTAACAAGAAAGAATGCCACATAAAATAAAAACATAGGGAGCATCTTTTGTGGATATTTATTTTATTTTATTTGATATTTTCTTCTTCAGTCTTCGTGAGGAACACATTATACAATTTAAATTAGTATCTCAAGTTCATGTCCTATCAAATAGTATCACATATAATCAGATTTTTTTTTTTTCAAACACATATAGTCAGATAGAGAGTAGTTATTTTTTTAACACAACTTACAACTTTTGCTTTAACCAAAAGTACCATTTTGTTTGAACTATTAATTACTTATTATAATCTTTTTGGAAGTAAAATCACCACAGGTAAACATCTCACGTTGGTGCCTTTTTCCCTTTAAATTCTGCCAAACAAAACCAATGTTATCATTAAAGCTAGTTATATCTTTTCTAATTTCTTTTCTTTGCTTTTCAAGAGTAACATACTTGAAGCCAGAGGAAGAAATTCCTTATTTGTTAATTTCTTTCAAAAGCTAAGAAGTAAATTTTCTTCAACAACTTATTTGATCCCAGTAAGAAAACAGAGGCTAAAAAGATACAACTTGACCCGCAATTGCAAAACGACAGAGATCAAAGGTGACTGTTGCTTGAATGGACCTTCATTCTTCTCTTGTTATGTATGTGGTGTGAAAGAAATAAAATTAAAAAAGAGAGAGAGAGAGAGAGAGAGAGAAAGCACATTATATTTACCCCACATCAGACTAATTTATCATGATTAAGCAATAAATTAAAGTGAGAATATGTATTAATTAACTATGATATAGTAAAAAAAATGTATATGAAGACATGCCATGTATTCATTAGGTTAGTGTAAACACTGAATGCAAGTAAATTTCTAAAGTTTTACCCTGCTAATGGTAAATGTCAAGAGGGGCGTATTCAAAGTATGGGAGTGGCCAATGGCCATCACACCACTCCAATAGCAGCGATTGAAAAACCTTGGTGGCTTTTAATTCCTATAAATTAAAAGCCAAAATCACTTTATTTCCCATAAAAACAAATCGTACAATCTCAGGGACAATCCAATGACCACAAGCCCAAATTCAAGCCACATTGTACAAGTTAGAATCCTCTATTAGACCTCCCCTACTCCAGTCAAAATGAATGGTTGACCTGAAAATACACAGTAACTTGGTTCTCATCCACCTTTAGGACTTAAATATGAGGACTGAGGAATTTGTTTGACACAGCAGAGAGGGATATAAGTGCCATAAACAACCACCATTTCCAAATCAAGCCTTTCACCAGATATTAGAAGTTTTTCATTCTTCTCGCGAGATTGCCAAATGCTTTACCAAAGTGATGACCCTTCCCACTAGACAAAACCTTAATCATATGATCAAATACTACTCTTAAAAGTTCTAAGCCAATAGTTCTGTAACACAAAGTTTAAGAGTCTTACTGTGCTAAAAATCTTCAGCGCTTAGTCTGAAACTGACCACTGGCTTTTCTCGCCACTCAATAAACCCATAGTTTCTGTTTTGCCTCAAGTTATCAAGCATAAACGTACAACTTAAAGAACAATGTGATCAAGTTTAGAATTGTTTACACAAAGTAAAAACAGGAATATACAGGTACAAGAATTTTCACCAAATAGTTGCAGCTTGGAATTATCAAAAGAATACGTGCAAAGGCAAAATATAGCATCATCATCCGCCGAAGTCTCATTAGCTTTTCCATCTATATCAATACCAAGCTCAGCCAGATTTGAACAGAAGAACAGCTTTTGAATCCAAATAGAAGTAGACAAAGTGATTTGTCTCATGAGTCACATAAGAGCCTACAAGAGACAAAGCACAAATATCACCACTCTAATTGCAAAATGACCTGTAAATCAAGCTAGTCAATTATAATTAACCTTCTAAGCAAACACATTTGTTGAAGAATAATGAGCAGTACAAGTTTCATTCTGTCAAATTCTATAACCTGTCAGCACTACAAAAACAATGACACGGCAAAGCAGCAAACTGGTGACTGTCTTTCCTTCTTTTGAATGACTTAGCCAACCTTTATCACAGAAAAATTTGTGATTTGCAACGCTTAGTCATTTTCTACAGTATGACCACAGCTCTATAAGCACTATCTATCATCCTCCACCCTTATAACACTGAATGAAAAAATTTAGGTTAATCAATTCGAAATAAAAGCTAGACAGACCAAAGAGATCTTGGCAACAGGTTGGTGTTATTACTGCATAAGTTCACTGTTAACCACCAGAGACCTGGCGTAACTTTTTTCATCGCCATCAACCTCCGGAGGTATATACATTCTTAAAGTTCATCTGCCTTGAACTTCACATGAAAGAGGGTTAAACTGTCTAGCAGAACCTGACATGGGACCAACTAAACCACTAAACCTGAAACTGTAAGAGGGGTGCCGACAAACATTATCCAACGAGCATGACAGAAAGAAGGCATCTGATAGGTTGAAATGGCTTTGACATACCAACAACACCTTGCTCAAATTTGTCCAGTTAGTGACCATAGTTGAACTTCGGTCTACTCAAAGACTAAGAAAACAAATACAGTATTCTTGCTTCCGCAATTGAATACTCACTTCTACTTTTGGTCATTCCAGATAATATAAACTTACATGAAAAGAGACGTTCTATGAGTTTACATAAGACGCCTTGATAGAGATCAAATTTTTACGTTCTACATCTTAGACATTTCCACGTTCATTTCTTCTTTCAAGCCCAAATCTCTAAGAAATTCATTTTCAAACAGTCCATGTAATATACAAGGTTGGCCTTTTCTGGCTTTTGCTGAATGTTACTTGTCACTCGCGAACTCCTATTAACTAGGGCCACTGTCTCATTGCAACTAACATTGACCAAAGGACACATAGAAAGAAAAGTGATTGTCTGGTTATCCAGGGGAAAAAATATGATATCCACTACAAGTCAACAAAGAATACCGTTCTTAATTATTATTTTAAATTTTTCTTTTTGATAACCAACAAAGAATACTTTCTTTAACTGCAGATTTTCCACTCAAAACAAGCAAGTACAATTTACAGACCGGGAGGTGCAGATGCTTTAGAAAGGTCACTAGAAACAGTAAAATTTAGGTTAAAAATCATTATCTTAGCACTTACCAAACTGACGACTCTGTCAAAACAGCAGAGATCAATAAATGAAAGAAGTAACCGTTAGTTTGATACAATTGTAAATATATTCAAATTTTACACTGAGGCTTCAAAACTATTGTCCTAGTGTACACATAGTTGCAAATCTGCTGCTTTTTCGATGAGTACTCTTCAAAAACAGAAGGGAAACACAAAGCCATGACACTTTCCATATGCTATTCACAAGTACAGAACTGAATGAGATACTTGTTTAGACACATCCAACTAATCGCTGCTGCATCATCCACCATTTGAGCTTCTTTCAAGAGCATACAAAAAGGTAAATGGCTCACATATGACCGCATTATCATTAATGCTCATTCTCGCAAGACCATTGCTAATCACAAGGTATATTCATTATATAAAGATCAAACAAACACTAGAACAATTTCATGAAAAGGTTCCTTCAGTTGCACTTTTTCAAGTAACTACAAATCCATGATGTTGTTTCTCACTTTTAGTATACAATATTTCTTATTATGATGGTGTTTGGGCCAGCTACATCAACTATTCCACCGGGTAGTTACTATCTTCCACCAATACAGGTACCAGGTAACTCTCCCAACCAAATTTTAAGTAGATGAGAAGAAAATCACCTAATGATTTATTGCCTCTTGCTGGAAATTTGAACTTGAAACCCATGGCACTTACAAATTTTTATATTANCTCCCTTTTAACCTCTCTAGATAAGCTTTTCAACGCGACCTCGAAAAGATCACCTAATACAAGAAGATCAGATCCATCCACAAATCAATTTTATTATAAGGGTGGATATTTTAGCCACCTTGCGCGACAGCTCAAACTTTAGTCTGGTACTTGCTACCTCCTACGCATAGGTACCAAATAACTCCATCCGAACAAGGCTTAGAACTCGCCTAGTGATACCTCTTACGATCCATCCACAAATCATTGAACATGCATAAGTAATTATTTTCGGTGAAACTCGAGACAAGGCTTTGTGAGGTGCTAGATCCACATCATTTCGGATAGATAATGCATATCATCCCATCAGATCACAGAAATACTACAAATTAAGTTTCAGTTGTCATACCATATAATTTTCCTATCAGCTAATTCTAGTAACAATGAAAGTTGATATCTTCTATAAAAGCTGCATTAAGTAAATCATGTAAAACCTCCGAACCTTACCGAAGTTTTTGCCGACAATGCAATGCCAAGTAGGACCGTACTTCTTATCAAACTCCTTCTTAATCTGTTCAGCTACATCTTTCTCTACATTATACTTCTCAAATGCCTAATCACATAAACAAACAAGCACAAACAAAACGCATAAAGTCATAGAACTATAATAGTAAATTCGGAGTAGAATACGAGAAGAAAATAATCAAACGCATAAATGCTTGTAATTGATTATATACAGCAATAGCAATGTCGACGGCCTCCTTTTGAACATCAGGTTTCATATCGGCACTTTTGATGGTGATTTTTTTGCCTATAGGAGACGGAACGGAACCTGAGGAGCTTCTCCGATCATCGGAGGTAGGCTTAGCCACCGGAGCTCCTCCGGTCCTTTTCGCGTCTTCGCTCATGTCTTCAAAATCCTTCGCCGGGATTGTAGAACAGCTCCTCTCCGGCGGCCGGTGATGACAGGAATGAATGAGTAAGAGAGAGAAAGAGTTGAGAGGGGGTGGGGGTGGGTGATGTGTGTATGTGGCGTTTCTGATTTTCAAGAGATTGTCCTTTCTCCTTTGGTGTGGTTTTGGGAGTTAGTATTAATTTTGCTTTACGCGACAGGGAAAAATGCTACGAGTTGGTAAAAAGCGGGAGTGTGGGAGAACGAATTTGAGTAACTTATTACTGTTACACTGCTCAATTGTCGTCCACTTCCTTTTTCTTTTCAAACATTTTTGTTTTGTTTTTCTTCGAACAATCATATANCCCTTCAAAGTCATTGACGTAATATTTAGGGAACGGTTGAACTCCTTTTTTGGCCTCCCTCACCTCTGAAACTCGGCAAAGCTGCCTGCCTTTCTTTCAATGCTTTAAGATGGAAGTAGGTCGAGTATAGGGCTTTCTCGATCTCCGTCCAGACGGACTTGATTGCTTATTTCATTCCATCTCTATGATATTTGAATTGTCGTTGAACCAATTAATTCAAATTTAAGTCGTGTAAGTTTCACTAAAGAGTTTTAACCATAAATTTCTTCCTTCTTAGAATTAAAACTCACGATATTTGATTAAGAGTGAAAACTTCATTCATATGATTGTTTTGACATCAAAAAATAACTAATAATAAGGATGAGGTTAATCTTAGTCAAGCACAGTAGAATCTAGATCAAATGATGGAATGAGTAAATAAGATGAAAAATATAATAAGTCTATTCAAATCCAATAAATGCTCATAAATGCGAAGATGTAAATGTATAAGTAGAACCGTCACAGATGCAATCGGTGTTAGGGAGAATAAGTACGGGATGATTGGGGAATCTTAGGATCTTCTCTGATAAACAAGATTGCTCTTTATTTCAATCTCAGATGATTCTTTTACAAACGGTTCTCCTCCTTTTTCTTTACTTACCCTTCCTATTTATAAGGGACAATCTCCCAAAAAACCCTAAAAAGTACAATATAGAGCATATTCGAAAAGAATATTCTTGCTGTCTCCCACTAAGTTTACACGGTTGTGGACTTTATGCGTCGACTGACCGCCCAGGGATTACCTTTCCCCATGACAACCATTAGGTGATACATCACGATAACCTTGTACCTCGTCCTACTCGGTAATGGTCGTGGTTGCCAAATTTGGACCCATACAGTTAGTCATTCCACTTGTTGAGGCGCCCATGTGCGTCCTTGATAAGCAGACGTCGTCCATATCCGCGGAGAAATTTGGCGGTTAGATCGTACCGGTTTAATCGATAATCAAAAAGTGGCGCAATCTATAATATTCTGGATAGTGTAGCGCATCAGGAATGACGTCACTCTCACGTGCGTCATCATTACACGGTTTCCCGAGGCAGAGACCGTCTGGCTTGTCGCTTCGATTTTGGTGCCACTAACAGCATTTTGCTTCGATTCTGGCGCCATCCAAACCTTATAAATAGATGGAGGTTTGGTTCTTTCAAGAACTTTCGAACATTTCCTTTCTAATGTGTGTTATCTTCTTTGGCCATCTCTTCATGTACCTTCAGCTCTACTTTCGTGATTTTTCTCTTCTCCTTCTACCGTTCTTCGTTTATCAATATATCTTCTGCCATCGAGATTCCTAAAACACATTGCTCTCTCGAAGAGGTTTCCGACGCCACCCCACTTTCTATAGCACCTCCCCCTAGTAGTGAGGATGTGGTGATAGAGGAAGGGGACAGCCTCCCGACCGTAGAGGAGATACTACCGAGAAACCCTATGGTTCGGAATGATTTCCTTAAAGAGCTTGTTCCATCTCCTGCTCCGGTGATTTCTGAGACCGAGCAGGCTCACATAAATGACCTCTGATCTACGTATAACATTCCCTCCCATGTTGAGATGGTTCTGGCTGGGAGGGACCTCATGGAAGTTTATAGGCCGGGGTATTGTGCTTTTTACAGATATCCCCTCGTAATAGGCCACTCATTCCCCCTTCTTCCATTAGCGGAGGAATTCTGTCATTTCTATGGGGTTTGCCTGGCACAGCTCTCCCCGTATACATACAGGATATTTCTAGTATTGACAAAGTATGCAGAGTTAGTGGGGTGCAAAATTGACCTTCGCCACCTCTTGCATTTGTTTTCCCCTAGTTTTCACAGGGGCACTATGATTCACTTGAGACATTGTGGGACCAAGGGGCTGGTGGTCGGAACAGATAATCGTGCGAGCCGCAAATTTTGGCATAAATACTTCTTCGTTAAACCGAACATCTTATGTCGAACCCCTCTAGATTCCCTAAGCGGTGGAATAACAATCGTAGGTATTGGTACTTGTTATCTACTTTTGTCCTTTCCGACTTAGTAATTATTTGTAACTTTCTTTTGCATCTGCAAGGCGTACACCCCGTCCCGTCGTCGGTATAGAGGACTGGGTGGCCCGTTTGCTGCCTTACGCAGTGGAGACTCGAGATTGGCCTTCTTTCATTAAATGATTTGGGGCGAAGGCTCCATCCGGTAAGTGTCATCTTCTGTTTTGACCTTTGGCTATTTGTCGTTGTTTATTGATACGGCCCTTCGTGGTGACAGGTCGTAGAGCTTCTAGGAAAAGGGACGCAGTCCCTACATTTCGCTAGGCCATCGCATCGGATGCAATTTACCTTGGAGGATCTGTCCGAGGGGGTCGTGCTCAGCCAGTACAGGTGAGAGACTCATCTCGAGATATGGTTGTAAGGGATGAGATCTCTTCTCGACTGGCCTATCATCTCGTGGATGAGTCCTCTAATGGGGATAAGTCTCTGTCGAGGAAAAAGAGGAGGGTAGACCTCGGGAAGGCCACTGCCAATGATGCTGGTAAGAGTGGAACTGGTGCGTCGGAGGCAGCACCTATGCCCGTTTTTATGGCAAATGCCATTTTGGTAGGGAGATGCCCCCAGACATAAGGAATATACCAAGGAGGGGGGTCTGTGCGTTCCGTCGAAGGTGGCGCATCATCCGCCATTGAAGGAAGGGTACACACCGGGGGCGACGGCTTGGGTTCGGACGTCGACCCAGGAGATGTACGAGAGTTCTTAGAGCATCACACTTATGTAGAGGTTAGAACAGAGGGTTCCGATCGGCAAATAGTCATTCCTAGGAACTACGACTTGTTGTCGAACTGCGATCAGGTGGCGTCGGTGTTTGCCCCTTTATGTGTTGCTCCTGAGAATGAAACACTTAAAGAGATGAGTGATGCAGAGTTGTCACGGAGCGTCTCCGGCATGGCTCTTCGGGTAAATGCTTCTCTTTTTCCTTTTGTCGTTGGATCTGTTTTGCATCCTTAGCCCATTCTTTTGTTTTGACTTTGTTTTTCATTTTGGTCCCTCATCATGGAGATCAAGCGTGAACGTCGGGAAAGGCGTAGGTCGACCATCTATGGGACGATGTCCTCCAAATATCAAGAATACAGCACCAAGCATCGTGCAATGGCTGACATCTTTACTCAGGATCGCAACTTTCAGTTGTTCCGCGATGGGCTTAAGCAAAGGGAGGATTAACTGGCACATAAGGTCAAAGAACTGAAAGAACAAGATGAGTACCTTATGAAGGCTATTGCCCGTTGTAGTGAACTCGAGGCAGCCCTTAAGGTCAGGGAAGATGAGCTCGAGCTGAGTAAGGGAGTGACGGCCGAAAATGCAGACCTCCAAGTAAAGGTGACTAATTTAACCACCGAGCTTGACAGGAAGGTGGCGGAGGTCGTCGACCTTAAGGGTGAGTTGAGTGCTAATGTTGATGGGTTGGCTCACGCCGAAAGGGATAGGGAAACTGTCGTTTCTGAGGCAGCAGCTCTGGAAGATGCCCTTCATGTTTGCAGGTTGGAGCGGGACAAGGAGGTGGAAGCATTTGCGCTTAAGGTAGTGAGATTGTCCGCGTTAAATGAACAGGTGGCTGCTTTGAAAACAGAGGACGTACGACGACAGTTGCATCCTTCTACATCTCATGCTTTGGTTGATCTTGTCGTGCCTCGACATTTGTATGAGCTGTGGGTTTATACTGAAGCCCAGCTTGTTGTGTATAAGTCTCTTTATACTAACGGGAGGGTGTCCGAGGCAGAGTTTCGGGACGTGCGTATTAAAGCGCGTGCCGCTTGAGAGGCGTGTGTTTACGACCCCATCACGCCTGGTGGAGACGATGTCGATTTCGACGATGCGGACAAACTTGCCTTCAATTCTTGGTACAACGAGGAATATGCTACAGGGGTGATGCGTCATAAGACTTGGCTGTATTTATTTTGCTTTGCCATTTTTGTGGGGGCGTTCTTGAGCCCTTTGTAAAAAAAAGCTTTTGTAATATAACATATGTAATGGAGCAATTACTTTTTATTGTGTACCTCTGAATTGTTTTCTTGCCGTGTTTATTTATTTAGCGATGTCATTTGTCATAGTCGTACTTATTTTGAGTTGTTGAAATGTTACCTATTACGTTTCGAGCGATATTTCACTAATGTTGAGCTTTTTCCTTTGGTAACGGCCTTAGTAGTGGGGTGTCATTTCCACTTAATTTTGAAATGTTAACTAGTCGTGGTTTGAATAGTATCGACCCCTTTCGTGACGATGGCCTCAGCTATGGGGTGTTATTTCGAATTAACGTCAAGATGTTAACCCGTCGTGGTTCGAATGGTATCAAAATCTTTTGTGGCGATGGCCTTAGCCATGGGGTGTTATTTCGACTTAATGTCGAAATGTTTACCCGTCGTGGTTCGAGTGGTATCAAACTCTTTCATGGTGATGGCCTTAGCCATGCGACGTTATTTCTACTTAACTCGAGATGTTAACCCGTCGTGGTTCGAATGGTATCAAAATCTTTCGTGGTGATGGCCTTAGCCATGGGGTGTTATTTCAACTTAATGTCGAAATGTTAACCCGTCGTGGTTCGAGTGGTATCAAACTCTTTCGTTGCGATGCCGTTAGCCATGGGTGGTTATTTCTACTTAATGTCGAAATGTTAATCCGTCGTGGTTCGAGGGGTGTCGAACTCTTTTCTTTGATAATGGCCTTGGCCATTGGGATGTTACTTTCAAGCTGGTGCTGAAGTAGTATCCCGTCGTGGTTCGAGTAGTGTCAAACTCTTTCGTGTCGATGGCCTTAACCATAGGGTGTTATTTCAACAATGTCGAAATGTTTAACCCATCGTGGTTCGAGTGGTATCGAACTCCTTT